ACGTGTTTGCAGCAAAAGGCTTCTTTCCTGGTGCTGTTACGCAAGCGTGGGACCCTGAGGTATATGTCAAATCGTCCCTCCTCTATTTCGGGCTAAACTGTGTGTTTCAGGTGATAATGGACGCCCTTTTGACCCTACCTCTTCCCTCCACCATTCGGCATTTGCGACTCTCGTCGTATTCAGCTGGATCACGCAGTGGAACTGCCACGGAAGACCGCCTTGTAAGACACAAACAAGACCTCCGGGTAAAATATCCTAATTTAAGCTCTGTTTCTCTGGATGAATCGGACATCGACCTAACGTGGGATAGGAGTACAGTGCTGCTCCATTGCTGAGATTCGAGGATTCGTTCAGTGCACAGCCTGCATTTGATTGACCTATATATATGTATCTATGCATAATTGTATACGATTTATTTCGGGTTGCCGCGGACTACTGTCTCCGAATAGGATGTTTCCCAGTCATTCCCTTCACCCGTCCTGTCGTTCCTGTACCCACCGACGATCTTCCACAATGCACTATCATAGCAAGTTCTTTCACACCATTGCTCTCCAAGCCCATGCTCATAGATACACTATCACTCCTCGTCGTCCTTGCAGTTTGTTCTACAAACCTAGCATACCCCGTAAGCAGAACCGATGTGATAGTTACTGTGACAAACGATGAACTCATTCTCATCAACGTTGGTTCAGTGTGCCGGAATATAGATGGAAAGGGTGTTAGTAGGGGATAGTGGATGCCGTCCCCACGACATGGATGTGTTCGGATGCACACCATACGATTGAGCTATACTTGAAAATCAGAGCTTCCTGGAGGCCAGAGGAAGCTCGAGGCATCTGGCCATGCTATCTGATTCGGAGCGTCGGATATGTAGGGCGGAGGCAGAGGTCAAGACCAGAAAATTCTATTGAGCCAATTATGAAACACAGGAATGCGGATTTGCTTGATTGCAGGACTATTAAACGCGATACTCGTATTCTATGGAAGAGCCAGCCATTTCTCGAGCAATACAGGGAAGTTGAGAGTACCAAGACCAGTAACTGGATCCCATCCAACGGTCGCGTTGTAACCTTCGGTACCACAGCCCGGGTTTGACCCTTCGGTAATGTCATTGAAAGCACCTGCGAAATCAGTAGAGTAGATCTAACACCATAAATTATCAACTGAGGCGGGCAAAAGGGCAGGAACATACCGTAGGGTTAATGAACCCAATCGGGCTCTTTCCTGCAGCGAGACGGGCATCGTTGATCATCGTAAAGATGGCGCCGCTAACTGGTGAAGAACAGGACGTTCCGTACACGAGCTCGAATTCACCGTCGACAGCGACAACGTAGTTCTGACGGGAAACAATAAACGTTAAACCCCGCGTATCCATGCGACTTGTAACAGACACTCACAGCTCCGTTGGCAGCAATGTCAGGTAAAGCACGAGACTGATAGATAGCTTTAGTTGATTGAACATATCACATTCACTCTGACACTTACCATGCCAGTCGAGTTCCACATAGTTGCGGGGTAGTTGGGAGGATAATTTTCCAGATAGTAATCGACAGCGGTCTTCTGGTACGAGGGCATCGCGAAGTAGTTACTGAAGCCTCCACCCGAGTAGATGACTTCCATGCAAGCCATTTCAGGTTGAGCGTCGAGGACACTTGCACCTGGCTTGACCATGGTAGCGCCGACAGATGTGACGTAGGGGCAGACACCAGGGAATGTGGGATTGAACATTGTACCGTTTACAGTCTGAGTGCCTGTTGTCGTGTGAGAAGATAGAAGTGAAAATTAAACTAAAGGTATACCATCGGGGTTCAGGCAAACATCGCCATTACCAGCAACACCATCGTCTCCAGAGCTGTACAGGATGGTAACACCCATCAAGCCAAGCTTCGCATACTCTGCGCACTGGCGCTCAGCATAGAACGGAGTGAGATCGGCCTCGTTGTACCCATATGATGTTGATATAACGTATGCGGGCGTAACAGTGCCACAGTCCTCGGGCCCTATCAAAGCATCCAAGCTTATTGTATTTCAGATCGAAGAATGACAGGGACTTACCCTCATAACCCCCACCGTATGGGTCAGGATATTCGGCGTCCTCAGAGTAATCGTCACCGCCCTCGAACGTGCAGTATGACCCATCAATGGCGTCGAGGAAGTTGTTGAAAGAAGCCCCTGTCAATGTGGTCAGCGATATGTTTACGGCGTTTTCTCCTGTTCTCATCCTACCTTCCACCATGTCACCAGTTTGATAAAGAGTGACGTTTTGCTTGCCAGTGACCAATGTCATACCATATTGGAGATCGAGATCCGACTCGCCGTTGTAGTCGAAACCTTGGTACTCGGTCTGTGCATACCCTGCAGCATGTCTTTATGGTTTGATGAAAGAAGAACGTTAAGGTAATTACCTCCATCAATGGAAACCATGACTGGCTCCTTTCCGATGAGATCAGTAGAATAGTTCATGGCAAACATTTGCAGGTCGGATTGCAAGTACGCCTGAGGAGTGTATTCCACTAGGTGATGAATTAGCTCGCATGGTTACCAGTGGAATAGAATCCATACCGACGCCGAAGCTGTTAATGTCAGTAGAAACAGGTTCGTATACAAGTCCATATAGAGCTCTCAAGCAGATCGGAGTGATGTACTCGTCACACTGCTCAAGCTCAGTCACTAGCTGTGAAATAGTGCCAGTAGTCTTGGGGGTGATTCCTACACCAGGTTGACCGAGTGAGTGAGCGGCTTCCGACGGACTTCCAGATCGACGCTTGAGTTTCGCGTCGAAGCTGACGGAGGGCAGGACAAAATCAACATGAGCACTGATCTGCTCAGGGAGATGATAGGCCTCGCAAGCTAAAAAGTGGTGAGTGAGTGCCACAATAGTATCCTCTACGAAGATACTGACCGACGTGCTCCTGTCCAGAAACATGAGTATAAACATTATACTCTGTGTTCATGAGCCGTTCCGCTTCTTCGACCGTAACATCGACGTTAATCCAACCTTTGGTGGAACTTACGCGAATGCGCTCGCTCGCTAGCCCATTCTCAACAAGCCAGTCTCTAACGGTGGAGATAGATTCCTCTGAAGGTGAAAATTTTCGTGCGATCTCTCCTGCACTCCAGTGCTTGCCATAGTTGGATGACTTCGGGTGAGAAACATCATAAAGATATTCATCGATGAATTCGAGGTTATTCTGTTTCAGAGCAATGCGCAGAGGAAGTGTTGCTGCACTCTCGTGCCTTCGAGTTTGAGACCATCCAGCAGGAATGGCGCTGCGCTTCTCATGCACATTGTATGGGCTGAGAGCGGGCCTCGCCAAGGAGGCTACTGCGAGACTGAGGGTGACGAAAGTGGTCAATGAGCAGCGCATGTCGACGACCGAGACGACCAGAAGCTGACAACAAATCAATCACCAGCCATATCTTTTATAACTTTCTCGAGCACAGAAGCAGCATGGTTATGCGCCAGGATTAGACTGTAAGCACGCGAAACAGAGTCTCCTCGATGCGACACCCTCTCAAGGGCTTCACACACTGCGAGCTGTTTCCCCGAGAAACACATGGATGAGATACTCCTGGATTATACTGTCCACAGTCGAGAAGAGATACCAGAAAGGCCTCCGCTTTTGGTTAGATCCCTGATTGCCTATCGTAGATCAACATAGTTCTTCGACAAGGACGAGCTGTTACGGTGAAGCCGGTGATCGTTAGTTGATTACCAGCTACTCAGGAGCACCTTTCAATAATCTTTAAATCGCCCGTAAGTGGCTTGGGAATTAGGCATGAGGTACGGTAGCCTGTACAGGCAAAAGGAAATGTTCCCAGAAGTAGGATTTCAAAGTGTGCCATAACTTGATCGATTGGACCAATACTGTGGGTTTGTCAAAACACCGTGACTGCACAGCCATACAGACACTCTGACTGTCGGGCTCTCCCGGGTCGGAGCCGACGGACTACTCTTCCTGTGTCCGTAAATGATGGAGCTGCAGATTTTCTGAAAGTGCAATACAAGCTTGCAGAGATTGATTGTATAAATGTCCCAGCTATCTCCAGTCCCTTCCCCTTCTTCAATATCTACGCGGATTCTTTCGACAGACTAGTCCTTTTATTTATGTACCCTCGCACAGGGCAACCGGGAGTGCTCAATCCCAACGGCTGCGACGATTTTCCCTGGTGCTAGCCAGCAAGAGGCGTCACCCATGTGCTTCAACTTGAAGCGCGAGATCTCATTCTCTACACCCATAGTAGGAATTGTGCACGGTATCACTCTTCTTTTTGACAAGTGGAGAATAATGGGCTTGCAATACCCCACGTTTCAGGTCGCACAAGACGCACAAAAGCTTCTGACTTTCGGTCCTAAAGCATCTGTTACCAATATCGTGACAGTTGCTTGCGCACCGAATGTCCCACTCCGATAACTTCCGTCAGGACGCGTCCCAGTCTCCCAGACAAGTCCCAAATAACACATGCTTGATTCCCAACCTGGATTTCGCTTTACATTCCACGGAAAAGTTACTCGGGTTGCCATGGACTACCGTCTTTGAATAGGATATCGTTTCTCAGCCATTCCCGTACCCATTGATGAGCTCCCATGACCACAACGCACTAGCAAGCTCTTTCACGTCATCGCTCTCCAGTCCCGTGTTCATAAGCACACCATTATTCCTTCGCGTCCTTGCAGTCTGTTCCACAAACCTGCATTGAAGTTGGTATATAGTATGTAAGGATCCTATATATTTTGAATTTTATATTTGGCCATCTACGCTCACATAAGCTCAGGTAACTAAGTTCATCGATGCTAGATGGCTCAGCTACCAATGAAACGAAAACGTCCCGAATCAAAGTCAATGTCCGAAATCAAAGCAAAGCTCGTAAACTCGCTGGCAACAGGTACGCATAAGTGTCCAAAAACTTGTATGTCACTTTATCAGAGGGAGCGGCAAACATTGAAAGACCTTATACGTCGTTTGTAATCTCCTCAGGTATGTCCTGCAAGCCGAATACTATCCACGTGCCATGCCTGCGCTAATCCGTGACAATGGCCTAGGTTCTATTGTCGCACTATCCAGCTGCGGGGGTAAGACACCTACTTCTGTCTCACTCATGTTGCGCACAATACGTGCAAGTGGGGGTAGCACACCCACGTAAAAACGCGTCCGATATTGTGGACAAAGCCCCGCGTCGTCAGAAAATAAGCGCTGAGCCGCCCGTTCCAAGACCTCTCGAACACAATCGGCAGTCTTGCCCTCAAGGAGCGAGGAGGTCTCGTCACTATATAATAAAATCGCTCGGTCACGTGTGTTAGAGACAAACGCGAAAGACATTCTCATTGGCTGGCTATGTACCTTTCATACGGGAGGACTCACACACCAACTTGAAGGAGCACGATGGAAATTACTCCATGTGACCCTCAACCATTCACGTTTCAGCGAGCTATCTCCTTTAACACCGAAGTTTCTGCCGATGGTATGTTATCACGATTCCGGAGACGCATATCCAAGCTCTGCTACTCGTCCTTGAACATTAAACATCAGAGATCAGTCGTCTTCAAAACCCCATATTCCATCTAAAACGCACGCAAGAAGAACTCCAGGAATATGAGGACGACCCCAGATATCATCCTCCTGAACCGGAACCTGAAAGTAGAAATGGTAGGTATGGTGTATTTGGGACTGGTGATAATGGACTCGAGCCCTTGGACGCACCTCTCCCGGGAGACAAGTCGGGTCATCGAACTCGACTGGAACATGAGGAAGAAAGCGATGTGGGTCTGTGGTCCTACGTTAACTTGATCATAGTAACTGCCGCATTGTACATGTCATCTAATCACTTTATGCGTTGGTTAAACAGGATGTCGCGAATCGATCCTTCAAGTGCCTGGTTTTTAGAAAAATTCCAATCTCTGTCCTATGGAGAGTCATACTCTATGGAGGACAGTTCATTCTAGTCTAAGTGCCTGGTTAATGTGCGTATGAAACGGGCTCTCAATTCCAATGTGAATGATTCTTCGTATTAATTAATCACCGATTCTAGTTCTGATATACACGTTGGTCTGAATATGTAATAGAATGGTAGAAGTTGTAGGTGGCAAACTCATAAATCCTTCAGTAACAGTAAAACGGAAAATGACTATCATACATCACTCCTTGCCGGGTAGATTGAGGTCACTAAATGTGCGTTGTCCACACGGTGGACATTGTCGTCTTGTCCAGGATCGTGCTAAAGCCACCCCCTTTGGCTCGCAGTGCAGCCAATGCTTCGATCACCCATACTATAACAATTATCACAGCCAGTCATGACCGTCAACGCGGAAGGCATGCAGCACCTATACTAGCATGATGCCCGTCGATAACTTGTGTGGGGGTGGTTTTTTCACCATTGGCCGGCCTGCAAGGCATAGTAAGACTGGCAGAACCAGCGAGTGCGCTACTAGCTTACTTTCTGCCCACGACGGCGAAAACGTAGAGCGTAAGGGCTCCGTTTGAAAGGAAGGCCACACAAGCCAAGATAGTTATGATGTTGACAATGACATTGTCGGACCCGAAGCAGGCGATAAAGATAGCTGCACCAAATGAAATGTCATACTCATAAGTAGATCTAAACACACCTAGTGCCTCACTTACCCACAAACAAAAAGCAAGTGGCGACTGACAGACAGATTGAGGGGTATGCTAACCATAACAGCAGCGCGATGACTTGGTATCGTGGCATGTACTGTGCTGTGTGTCAAATGGTGAGCCAGCCCAAACAAACTCACTCACCTTGAGGGTTTCCATGTCTTTGTGAGCGGTACTAGTCTCATAGATAACAAGTACAGCAGATCCAGATATTACGCTGAGCAATGCAGCATCGAATGAAATCATGGCGATGATGTACGAGATTGGAGAGTTATAAGCCATCAAATGCGGCACGGGAGGCGGTGACGACAGGAATAGAGTAGTAGTTGCGAGCACGAGCCCGGCCTGAAGTCTGGTCATTGAACGCCAGCCATGAAGTCAGATTATATGACATACAGTGACGTTTGTGTTCTGGAATCGATTGACCATAATTGAGACATGTTCCTTCCAGTCTTTGTTCTTTGTATCTTTCCAATGGTCGAGAGACTCCCGAGAGACTGCGATAATGCACAAGATTTTGAATGCCAACTTGAGAATAGGATTATTGGGAGCTCGACAGTTTTCAGGGACTTGAGAGACGGAATTTGCAGACTCGGACGTCGCCATGGTGGAGGTGATTCGAGTTGCTTTTGAAAGCTGAAGGGTATTTAAAAATGCTATATATAATGTTTATGCACGATGTATCACTGCACAGAACTTGGTACCTCAAGATCGTGAGAACGGAATGTTATCGAACCACCCATCATTTGCATTGGAGTGCGAGTGCTTTAGAGTGGGTTACGTTGATTGCGCCTTTACGTACGTCGTAATGACATGGTCTGGATATATGATTGTCATGTGTGATGGTATATAACACAATATGACTTTCTCACCAGTCCTCTAAGTTGAGATGGCCCCAAGTCAAGCCCAAGTGCGGAGTAACTGGATATAACTCATTCCGTTTAGGAGCCGAGTCGAAGTTGCAGCCGTTGCGGAACCAACGGGCGTGACAGTCATGGCATCACAATTAACGGCAAAACCCGATTGTGTTCTGCTCAAGCAGCCACTGAACTAGAATGCAGACTCGGACACGTCGACGCGCCCGTCGTTGTCGCACATGACGTCAAACTCGACTTCTACCTGTACAGCTCTTAAGACGCGTGCGCTGTCGATCACAAATGATACAAGCGATTGTACAACAGTGGAGCCCGCCATAACAATCCCATCAGAACCCAATGGCCGTACATCCATAGGAGCGCCCAGAGCAACGAGGTACATACTAATAGTACTGATTCCGCAGCAAATTGCGTTTGCGCATCGATGTCTTTGTAAGTTTTAGAAAATTTGGACACATTAATGCCACGGTGACCTTGAAAGAAGCGCGCTTGAGAGCAGGCAGGCTAAGCTTGATTCTCTCCATAGAACAGCTTGCTTGGGCCTGCATGCACAACCGGAGTTTGAACCTTGATAAACGAATCGTGATTCACGAGTCGTGACAAGTTGTTTAACTCTGAACCTGTTGAGCGTTTGCCGATTACAACCCGTGGAGTTCAGCAAATTTAGCTCATCGCGAAGCCTAGTTTAAAATGGTGAGCTCGCAGTGGAACAAAGGGAGCGGCAGGGAAGTCAAATTACTGACTGTATCTCGTTTCTCTCTAGCCACTTTCTGGCACAACGATAATGATATACATCGGCAAGGGAACCGCACGAAGCATACACGAAGATGGCAGGCTGAAATAGACAACTCAAGCGCCTCCACTGATGGTCGGCGTGGAGTTCGACGCTAGCGTTGATGGCATAAATGCAGTGCACAGGTTACGGACACGAAAATAAGTTACCATGGACCAGGCAACCACAGGCCTTAGACTTAGTGCGGCGAAGTATCATCACTACATCCTATGTAGCGCCTCCTGCCATGCGCCAACAGCTGCCAAAGATGTTGTCAACCCTCCGAATAGCGCCAGAGTCAAAGATGGTTCCCGTCCTCCGCACTCATAGAGCTTTCCGTCTCTATCACAACTTCTAGAGGCTCTCGGCTCCACGCCAGATCTCAACTCCATTCTTGGAGTTGTTGGCAAATTAAAGGGAAACAGAGTACCTACCGATTCGTGGGTGCTGATACAGCTAATCTTAGCCATATTCCTGCGATGGAATCGGCTCATGCAATTTACTTATTTCCCTAAAGACAAGGAACTCCCTCTCCCTACCTATCAAAACAAGATCACGAACTGATAACCGTCTCGAGTTCTCCAAGGATTGGAGCGCGATGTCAAGTCAACAACACTCAGGGGAAGATCTGACCACAGTCCCCCTATCCCCGCACCAGCCATCACAAAAATGCCAACATGCACTGCTCGAATTTCTGATTTCTGAACATGCGTATGCAAGACTCGTCAAGAATGTTTCTATGATGTTATCCGGTGAGTCCTCCTGTTTCTTTTAACCGCTTTGAAAATTATTCTAATCGATCCCAGTTCATTTTCCGCCACTCAGTTTCTCATGTAGTTCAGAAATTTCACACCCTGGGTCTGGCTCCTATGACTCTCTGGTTATTCAACTTACTAATCGCTAATTCAGTTCGCGCACTCGCACACCCCGACACCTTCAGTACACTACCGTAGCTCACGCCTAGGCAACATTGATGCCATCGTTAGCGATATCGTACAGCCCCCTGCACTACCCCCCACTAACATGAGAACTGTACAGGTGCTGGTGATGTAGCTTGCCAGAATGTCCCGGCACCATGCGTCCAGCTGAGCGAACGCGCTCTTCGCTTCCTTTGTTCGCTTTCTTCTCTGCCACATCGTCGAGTTCGTCATACTTCGCATTTCCTCACTCATACCTTTTTCTTTGGATCCACCCACCGTTCCCTTCAATTTGTGTTTGCACTATATTTCACATTTTTAGTTCCTTTTTAATCGAGCATTATTGCATTATGGGGTACCAATGCATGTTTCGTTTCGAAGCTGCTCAAAGAGTATTCGCCCTCTTGAGCGGCTCCACTTGCTCGGACTACTTAGGCTCAGTCCTACCCCGAGTTAATGCCCGGTCCAGCCCAACCTATCAGCGACTCTTACCTGATGTGTCCAGTTGCGCTGCTCAGAGTACCTGTATTAATAATGCCTTGTCGGGAACGCCTGTGAAGAAATCTTTAAACCTCAGACTGACAGCCGATTAATAATGTGCTTGCGTGGAAAAACCTTGTCACCCGCGAGGGAACGTAGTAGCACGTGCAGGGTGCACTGGTTTCATAAACTTTGTTATTAAATGGTATCCTCTTGAAAAGTATCATATGCAATACGCTGCAGCAAGCCTGGATTTGGGTCGGTCCTTCTAGTCCTGACTCCTGGTCATCATCCCAACTTGACAACTGCCAGTCCCACCGAACGCGTGATACAATCCCTACTACTTCAACTCACCTTTCGGCATCGAACTCGGGACACAATGTTGGGCCGGCAGTCTCACGACAGTTTGCGCCTTCTGGCCAGGATACCCTCGATGCCAGTTTTTAACTTGAGGTTACCGCGCAGCCAGTTGACGACGACGTTAGTGCTGTCGGCCTCCAAATATATCTTCCTGGTCTTGCTATTGATTAATCTTCGGTCTCTACCGTTTGCCTGGCACAGTGAGTACGCATTCGTTTTTGCTAGTGATGAGTCTACCAAACGCAATGGCTTCTTTGAGTTCGCGTGTTCCTACCAGTTCTGCGACTCCGTCTCCAGTACTACCTCCTACGACTTCGCATCTTGTTCAAGTCCAAAGAGCTTAAGGCAAAGATCCTTGCCGACTGGGGCGAAGGTTTATGCCCAGTTGGCACAAACCCCTTCGAGCTCGTGACCATTCATCATGGCTGGACGAGTACGTTTTAATCAAAGTCTCTCATGAAATGTAAACTTACCTGACTTTAGGCGTGGACGACGCCGATTACAATGGACACCTCAGCAATTCCAGTTACGCGAAGGTAAGGGTTCAGTACACTCAGTCATTCAAGTAGCACAATGATGACAACCTTCTTTGCTCAGGCCCTTGATGCAGCCCGTTTGAAACTGGTTCTGAAGGCTTTCCCTGCTTTCGCAAGGAGTGGCGGGTGGATGGCTCTGGGTTGTACGTCAATTTCACTCCACATATTTCTCAATCGATATTCATTCCACATGTAGCTACTCACTTTCATTTCATTCGAGAAATACCGTTCTTGAGGAGCTATGAAATAAGACTTTCCATCGGGGCATGGGACCATAAATGGGTGAGCTCTTAGCATCTATAGAATTCACACAGGAAACAATCTAACATGGACAAGATGTTCGTTATTGCTCGCTACGTCTCTTCCACAAAGAAGAAGCACAGTAATGCCACCCATAAACTACATGTGGACGGATCAGGTCAGCAACTGGGGACTAATAATGATAGCACCAGACCATCAAAGACACTGACAACATCGAGTGACTTTCCTCGGATTTTGCTGAGCACGCCTGCGGAAGACTTGGCCACCCCTGCAACCCCCGGCAATACGACTGAGGCGGACTACAACCTTCAAGCTGAAAAGACGAAAAAAGAAATAGAAGCTTTGGCTGCCGCACAGTCAAACATACCTGAGCCCGACGGTGCCGTACTTCACTGTGTGGCGATCTCATACATTTGCTTCAAGCACGGCCGCATCACAGTGCCTCCTAGCGTTATTCTCCCATGCGAAGGATTCTCGAAACCTCCCAGTACTGCTTCTGCCGCGCCGTTCTCGTCGACGAACCCTCCACCTCACTGGAAGAAGGCCCAAGCATTGCGCGTCGCTCCATCAGGTAGTATACCTGCA